CACACACACACACACATACACACACACACACACCACACCAGACTAACCACACCACACAACACGACTCTAAACTACTCTAAACTAACAATAGCACCTTGTTTTTTCCAGAACGTCACACGCAACAGATCGTCGTGTGAGGCCCTGGTGACCGTGCCAGAGCATGTATAGCCTACGACTGGCTTACCACAGGGCGGCGGCAGCACACACAGCCTGTGATTGGCTACTGCAGCAGTGAGCGGCCATTCTGGACCTGTCTTCCCTGACATAACCGAGTGACCCCTGTACACCGACCGCCGCTACTTCCGGAGCTGTCTCATGTTCCAGCCCATGTTACCGTCTGTTGCTCTTTGTCCTTTTGGGCCCTGAGAATGGCATTGTTTTTAATCACAACCTTTGAAGAAATTGAGTCTCTGGATTAGAACTGCATACTCCTCCTTACACCTGCTCTTTGGTCTCTCACTGTGTTAACAAATTCCATACATGCAGTTTTACTTTGAAATCAACTTAGGCAATGTCTCTTCCGTGAAACTGGGGAACTGAGTCTCACTCTGAAAACTACTGTTTTAGGACCCCTTAATAAGTTTGCACATTCTCAGACCAATTTAGTTTCTAATCTAAATGGAAATGCAGTTTTAAAAGGAGGGGATTTTAGTCATCTACTCTCATTGTGAATTATTAAAAGAGCTAAAACCTTGCCATTCTAAGAGCAGCATTGTCATAATAAAGGCTCAAATCAGGGGTGTGATGGCAAAGGAATAATTGCCCCTCACCTCCCCAACCCACACGAAAGAGAAGCAAAGCATTTTTGTTTCCAAAAGCATTAACAAATTTTTGTAATTACTTTTTGATTTGCAATGTATCAGGTATAAATCTCTTCTGGTATTATCCAATTTCTTATCATGTTATTTTGAATGTAAAAAGGGATTTTATGAGTATTAAAAAGACAAAGTGTCTTCTTTAAAAAAAAAGTGAGATTTACTCCATTATAAGATAATTACGTTTGCCACCACACACACCTATCACATCTCCTTTACAGATGAGACCGTCTTACTTACGAATACTGAGGTCTTTGCAAACCTGTGATGTAAATAGCTTCTTCGTGAGAGTCAAGTATTAGTCTTGACTAGGAACATGTATAAATACTATACAGAGATTATCTATTTATAAAAGAAAGTCTGTGAGCTCGATGCCAAATGTTGTGTGAAGAGGCCCCCATCAGTGGGCTGGAGATCATGTATACTTCCAGTGGTGTTGGTTTTCATGGGAAATGAGAGAAAGAGAGAGAGACAGAGGAAGAGAGAGAGAGAGAAGGGGGAGGGAGGCAGCAAAAGAGAAAGCTAGATTTTATTTATTACTGTAATCTGGAGTGTGCTGATCTCTAACTCAAGTGTGAATAGAAATGTGAAAGTTGAAGATCATTTGATAGTGGTGGACAGTCATAAATTATGATTGGCAGCAGAAGGATAAGTCCTCCACAACTGAATAGATGTAGTTCAGGGAGATCAGAGTTTTACGATTCAGAATGTGTAGCCTCAGTGATTTTAACAGTCTCAGTTTTTGTCTCCTACCAAGTTTTGAATATGTGAAATCAACTGTCTTCCGTTTTTTACATAATATGTGTTGTGCTTTTCTCGACTTCATGGAGTGTGCAGTTCAGTTTGTATGCCGAGAAAGATAGTATCGTCACTGCACAAGCAAAATGGCTTTACTCAAGTGTAAGGCCTAAATGCAACTAGCCTTTTCTTATGTTTGGTGGTACTATATCTACCTTTTGGGAAAACCAAAACAAAATGTGCTCACAGTCAGAAAAGAAACATGCATGGCAAGTTTTACCATTATTTTGATAATAAATACTCGTATTGGAGTTAAAAACAATTTTTGCCTTTCATCTCAGAAGTTGCAAAAGTGAGGTGTGCCATTTTGCTAGTGCAGTAATGATGTGTGTGTATGTGTTCGGCATAAAGATTATTCTTCTGTCAAATTTATTTTCCCAAGCATGTCAAGGATAATACTTGTATTGATTCTGAATTGCTAACAATTTGGAAGTGCTTGACTTTTGTGTTCCAATAGTCCAAACTGATGTATTTAACTCATTTTCTTTCCCAAAGGGTGTCAATTCATGGTCATTGTCTCTTCTTCCATCTTGAATTGTGTTCTTTTATATAGCATTATGAGGTTTATCAGTAAGAATTTTAATTATATTGTTTCCATCTTTAAATTTAGAAGCATTTCTAGCAGTGCCTGATTGATCTGCCAGTCCAATTTTTCCTTTCATGGCAGTTTTCTCCCTCATGACTAAATATTATTTTTCTGTTTTGTGGTCTCCCTTCCCATCGTGGGTAGGGTGTTTGTGTTTGGCTCGCTTCTTCTTTCGTATCGAACATCTATCATCCTCGTCTCTCCTCCTTCTCTTGTATGTATATTATTCTCTAGTCACACCTTTAATCCTCAGCATTTATATGACCTTTTTGTGTTGCAAGTGCTGTAAGACTCATACTAAACTAAAACATAAACTTTGCTCTCACCACAATTCCTCAAATTATTTATGAGACAGTGTACAGCATGTCATCAGACATTCAGACAAGCTGGTGATGTACCTCTGATCAACTTCTTATCAGCTTTTCTCAGTTTTTCTCAAAGTATGCACAAGACGACACAAAGGTTTACTCCCCCTTATTTATGAAGGTGGTTTGAGAGTGCTATTGATGGTTGGGCTGTTCTGCTCCTTTCCTCATGTCTTGTCTGTTGCCTGCTTTTCCCAGCTGTTCCCTCCCCTATGTGGTCAGTATTTTGTCCCAGTGCTTTTCAATTCCCCCAGTGGGTGAATGGAGGATTTTACTGATTTGCCTTGCATCTTTCCTGTCTTTCTCTCTGTTGTTTGTGTATATCAGTCTTGTTCTTTGCAAAAACTAAATGATTGTGATTGTGTCGAAGTGCTTCTCTTTTCTCTCACTAACGAGGTGTCTCCCTTTCCTCTTCAAGCCATTTTCAATTGAGATGAACTTGCAGTTTATATCGGGGTGCTCTGTTAGCCGGTGCCATGCTGGACTACGGAGTGGGTGGCCCTGGTTCAAATCCCGAACTGGACGTTCTTGAAATTATGTCGTTTTGTGGAGTTTTCAAGGTTCTCAGTGGGTGGTTGGCGGGTGCTCTGGTGTGGTTTGCTCCTTCTTTCCTCTTGAACATCTATCGTCCTTATCTCTCCTTTTTTACGTTTGTTGTTACTCTCCTGTAACACGTGATCTTCGGCACTTATATGACCTTATTGTGTTGCAAGTGCCGTAAAACTCTTTACTAAACTAAGACAAGGTTCTCAATCCACTTGGCTCAGTCGTGTGGGAAATGGACGTTAAATTAGGAGGTCCCGTCTCTCAAATAACCTTACAGTGTTGATTAGGACGTAGGCCCATACACTTACGTACACTTACAGTTTATATCTAGCATTTTGTTTGTCCACCCTCCCCCAGCCGGGGGTTGAGAGTTTGCTCAATGTTTGCCATAATCAAACACTCAAGATTTTGTCTTGTTGACCCATTCCACGGAGGATTTACAAAGATGTGGGGTTCTGACTGCAAGTACAGAAACATGATCCTCACTTGTCTTGCTTTATTCGAGGTTGTATATCTTTGAGGAGGTGAATGTGTATTTTGCTGAAATAGTCATCTTTTTATGAGCGTGTGTTTCACCTATTAGTGCAAACTGCCTTGGTGATGGCTTCTGACCTACTTTTCTGTTTGATTTTTAAATCATTCTTGTAATGTGGAGGTTTGAAGTTTTACATTGCACTTGAATACCTTATTTTAGAAGAGACTTGTTTTGTGAATGTGAATTCCTGCATAACCGGATTTTTTTCTTTCTGGGGATTTTCATATTAATGGATGCTGATGTCAGCTCTGGTGTATGGTAATCTAAGGTCATTATGGTATGTTGTATTTTACGATAGCTCTGGCATTTTTGTTAATGTATCACGTTTTCGGCGGTGTCTAGAATTCTGGAGATATGGAATCATCCTGACTTTTTCATTTCCTGTTTGACTGAGTATGTCTTCCTTACTTAATTTGTGTTTTTTCAACTTTTTTTTCAACTCTGACAATCTTATAGGTGCCATGAATCGTGCAAACTGTAACTTAACTCTAATGTGGCATCTGTGATATAGTGGTTAGGCTCACGGGCTTGTTATGAAAGATTGTGGGTTCAAACCCCATCAGGCCCCTTACGTTGTGTCATTGGGAAATGTCCTTTACACGAATTTTACCCCCTTAACACAGGTGGGAATAGGTACCCAGTTATGGACATTGGAAGATCTTGTTAGCTTGTTAGTGTTTGTTAGACACAGAGTGCTTACACTGTGTATTTACCGTAAAGCTAAGAATATCCGTGAGTATTCTACTGGGGTAATAATACAGATTGTAAAGCGCATAGAGCTTGCTGTTGGGCAGGGATATGTGTCGTACAAATGCTATTTATTATTGTTATTATTAATATCCCCTATCTCTCAGGCTGTTTTTGTGAGGTTTTTCTCAGTGGCTGGTTGGAGGTCACTGGTGATTTGTCCTACTTCTTTGTCCCATATTCCCTCTGTTCTTTCTGTGTGTCCTGTGGGGTTTTTTCAGCTATGATTGGGCCTGATTGTATTTAAACGTTCAAAGTTCCGTGCTAAATTTATTGAATGTTTTTATTCTATTTATTTCTTGGATAAGGGAAGTCTTGTTTGCAGTAATTCATTTTTGTTCCATGTTGCTAAATAATTATTGTGAAAGAATTTTTAGACAGATGTATTGGTACACTTAAGGATTGCTCACCCTTGCATGTGAATGAAAGAATATACGGCAATATAAATGGTTGTATGTATGTATGTGTGCATATAAATGTGTATGTACATATGTGTGTGTGTGTATGTGTGAACGCACTTGTGTAGTCATTGAGTTATGCCATCTGTTTCTGTACATGAGTTGAAAGTTAATTTTGCCTGATTCAATTTCTGCACCACGGGTATTCTGTTGGCTTTAAGTTTAAGCGGGGAACTGCTTTACTAATTGACCGTAACCATTCCAGTTTGGTATCCTTTTGTTTTCAAGTTGTCAGTGATTTTACCTCTCACTTTAAGTGCACAAGTTCAGACATATCTAGACATTTTTCAGATCTCTTTGGCAGTAATAGATTTGTGTGTCTTTCTGTGTCTGCATTTTGAGAGGTCTTCCACCCTGATTATTTCACTTCTGTACTGGAGGCAGCATACTCTAGCAGTGAATCAGTTTCCCTTTTTTTAAAAAGTAAATAATGCAATTTGTTTCGTGTCCTAAGCATGTATATGTTTTTTGAAGCTGTGTATATGGTCGTCTTTCTATTTAATGTTTAATTCAGTCTCCATTACAATTAATTTCATTCTCGCTGGTCTACAAATGTGCTCTTTTATCAAGAGTTATACAATTACAATGTTTGTCTTCGAAGTTTTACAGATTTTTTTGCTTCTTCTGGAAGTACCTAAGATCTGAGCATTTGGAATGTGATTTCCCCTCTTTTTAAAATTTATATAAGAAAGAGATTTTGCAGCTTTCCCACGTCTCATTAAAATTGATGTGCCAGAAATCAGACATTTGTCAGACATACTTTCTTGATGCATTGTAAGATGTCCTCTACTTTTTCACTCTAAACCTCATTTTGAAATTGATTGTGCCATAAGTGATGTGTTGTTTCCTCGTTCACTTTGCCAGTTTGTTGTGGGGGGGGGGGGGATTTTTATTTCTGAGACTTAGCCAGATTCGTTGCAGGTTGAGCTTTGAGACAAAGTGATGTCGTAGTTCCTGTCATCCCTCTAGGAATATTTTCTTCGTAGACTGGTGTCCTTGTACTGAGAATTATTATAGCATGGACCTCTTTGCTGCCAACAGTATTGTTACTAAGTAATCAGTTTCTTTTCCAGATTGAATTTTTGTAGACTTGACCAGAAAAAGACATGGACAGTAATCAAAACCGCCATTGATTTATTGCTTTAACAGATTTCCTGATACAGGTCTTTCTCAGACAAGGCATTTAATTAAAATAAGGGATAGACCCTTATCTGGAAAGGTGAGATTTTGGTGCTTTTTAAAATTATTTTACGTTCTTCATATAGCGTGGTAATTTTTAACATAAATTCTAGTTCTCACCATGCCCATGCCAGACTTCATAACAGACCCATCTCTAAAGTGGATGGTTTAGACATGTAACTTTTAACTTCACTGAAGTGTGTTCCCAGTTGTCTGGCAGCAACACATGAATAGATGGTAAGACTAAGAGACAAATTCTGTTTTCTTTCTTTTCTCTCATTCTTCTATTTCTGCCTGCTGTTTGTAATATTTGTCTAGTACTGAAAGACGCCCACTTAATACACGTACATAATGATTTTGATTTTAGTTGATGTGACTTTGTTGTGTGTGTATAATAATGATTATGGGTAAGAATGAAAAAAGCTTTTCTGCTGCCTGATGATGTACTTATGAATGAATTGTGCCAATCATGTGCTTTCATAAATTGTCACTCAAGCATGTTTTTTGGTGACTCTCTGATCTTGTCATGTTGTCAT